GGGAGTTTAAGCCACCAGGTCCGGGAGGTGAACTGCGGTTGACTACATGGGAATCCAGTGACATAGGCATTATGCCAACTGCTGGTCCCCCCCCCCCTTTTTTTTTTAACTTTATTTTATTTTAATTTGATCAGAGAGGGACAGAGTGTGTGCGAGAGAGTGAGAAAGCAAGCCACCAGGTCCAGGACTTGAGCCGTGGTCGGCCATGTGGGAGTCCAGCGCCCTTAACCACCACGCCACCAGCCGGTCCCCACCCCATTTTTTTAAGAGAGATTTTTGCTATAGGGAATGTGTGCTCAACAAAGGAAATAGAGACAGAAAGCAAGAGAGTTTCAAGCTGCTGGGTCTGGGACTCAAACTGCTATGTAGGAGTCCGGTGGTGTAACCATTAAGACCATCTGCTGGTCCCTGAATAGTTCTTTTTTGGGGGACTAGCAGGTGGCATGGTGGTTAAAGGCACTGGACCCCCACATGCGTGGCTGACTGCAGTCCAAGTCTCAGACTTGGTGGCTTGCTTCCTCACTTTCCCTCCCTCTCTCTTTGTCTCTCATACTCTGTCCATCTCTGGATATATATGTGTATATATATTTAAATAAAATAATTCTTTAAAAATAGTTCTTTTTAAGAAAATTAAAAAAAAAAAAACAAGTTCTCATCACATGGCCTTTCTCTGGCATCCTGGCTCCTAATTGATTCCTCTTCCAGCATGACCACCTCCAGTTCAGAAGTTCATCCTCATCATCCTGGAGCTGTCCTGAGCCTTTCTTAGAACTGGCTGGGTGGGGAGATGAATTGAAGGCTTGCCTTTAACAACTTTTTCTTCTTTCCAGATTGGCTCGACCAGTGCACCTGGACAGGGAGGCATCCTGGCTCAGCGGGAGTTTGATAGGAGATTCTCCCCCCATTTTGTAAGCTTTCTAGTGTTCTCTTGTATCATTTCCATAGTAGGAGAATGTTCTGGTTCTGGAACCTCTTGGCCCCCTTGGAAGATTTGTTCCGTTGGTTGGTTTTTACCTGCCTGCCTGCTTTTTTGGTGATCATCAAATAACCTCAGATACCCTGATCCAACCGTGTCTGGAGATTTGAGGTCATAATTGCTAGAACCTTAAAACACCCTTTTCTTTCTTTTCTTTTCTTTTTTAAGAGATTTCTTTTGCTATAAGGTACATGTGTTTGCAGGAGAGCCAGAGAGAGAAAGCGAGAAATCTCTCCCCAGGGAGGATGGCCATCCTGCAATGCCTTCTCCGCCATTCTCCTCTCAGGATTTTGGGCACGAATGGACATGTGCCTGGTGTGAATTTTTTTTTTTTTTGGAGAGGTTTTGTTTGTTTGTTTGTTGGTTTTTTGTTTTTGTTTTTTGCTATAGGGTGCGTGCGCTCGCCAGAAAGACAGAGACAGAGAGAGAGACAGAAAGCGAGAAGTCACCCCTCAGGGGGGATGGTCACGCCGCAATCCCTTCTCCTCCATTCTCCTCTCAGGATCTTGGGCACGCACGCACACATGCCTGGTGTGAGCTTTAAGCCACCGGGTCCAGGACACAAACTGTGGTCGACTACATGGGAATCCAGCGACATAGCCATTACGCTAACTGCTGGTCCCTGGTGTGAGTTTTTTTAAAAATAAAAATAAATAACATTTACTTATGTATTTATTTATTGTGATTTTCCGTTGATCCAGGACTTGAACTGCGATCGACCATGTGGAAATCCAGTGCCCTTAACCACCATGGCACCTGCTGGCCCTCCTGGCATGAGTTTCAAGACACCAGTTGGCCATGTGGAAGTCCAGTGCTTCAACCACTACACCACCTGCTGGTCCCCAAACTGGCCCTTTTCTGTGCTCAGCCTTGAGGAGAATCCCATCTTAGATTCCTAGGTCTATTTTCAATTTGAAAGAATGTCAAGGTAGTGACCAGCAGTTAGAGTAATGTCTATGTTGCTGAACTTCCACATAGTCAACCGTGGTTCAAGTCCCAGATCTGGTGGCTTAAACTCATGCTGGGCATATGTGTGTGCGTGTCCAAGATCCCAAGAGGAGAATGGAGGAGAAGGGATTGCAGTGTGGCCATCTCCCCTGGAGGGTGATTTTTTGCTTTCTGTCTCTCTGTCTCTCTCTGTCTTTCTGGTGAGTGCATGCACCCTATAGCAAAAACCTCCCCCCCAAAAAAAAAGACTATCAAGGTAGATTCAAAGAGTCAGTGGGGGGTTAAGTGGGAACTTTGTCATGGTCTAGTTCAGAGAAAAGTTTTTGTGCTGAATGAGGGAATTCACTAATTCCTTCATTAGTGAATGTGGTTCCTAATCAGGTGCCCGTTCTGCACTGTGCTTTGGGAAAACGGAATGAGTCGAGTTCTTTCATTAAAGGTCTATGGGTACACAGGGGGCTCAGAACACATGGGTGAGGTTATATGCAAGGGGCAGGGCCCTCTGTCTGTCTTTAGGGGTCGGGAGGGGGGCGGTTTCGGGAAGAGGAAAGCTTAGCTGGTGGGAAAGGAGGTAAAGAAGGGCAGGCAGTAAAGAGAGCAGCTCGGAGTGGGGTGGTCCTGGGCGGCCAGCAGCTGTGTTTGCTGGAGGGCAGGGGTGAGGCGGAGGGAGCCGGCGGGGGCTTTGACTGTCAGGGCAAGACTCGGGCATCCCTGTTCTCAAAGATTGGAGGAGTGAAGCTTCTCTTCCAGGTCTTCGACTTCATAGCTTGAAAGATAGGTTGGTCGTTGGAGAACCGTGCTGTATCGGGGTGGTCAGAGGAACCTTCCTGGCCTATGTTCTGCTGAGAGTTTGGGCTAGCCTGCGCCCTGTCTGGTTGGACCCATCCCTTCCCGTTCTCTGTGGCACCCTGAGGCCACTTCTAAGCAAGGTCTTCGTTTTCCTTCACAGCTGGACTGGGCAGCCTTCGGGGTCATGACCCTCCCTTCCATCGGCATCCCCCTGCTCCTGTGGTACTCCAGCAAGAGGAAATACGACACGCCCAAGACCAAGAAGAACTGAGAGGGCCTCCCACGGCCCTCCTCTCCCAAGAAATCAGGTGCTTTCCAGATTCCAGAGGGTATCTCAGTGTGATCTCCTCCCTCGGCCCTCGGCCACCTTCCCCTAGGGTTGCCCTTCTCTCAAGCAGAGTGTGAAGGACGCTGCTGTGGAGTCTCCGAGTCTCCTTGGTGCCATCGTGAAGCCATACTAACAGGATGCCTTCTGTGACAGCCCAGAGGGCCTCTGGTGGCCCGCCGAGGTGCTGTTGGTGTATTGCCGGCAATGTGAACTCTCAGGGGTCCAGGAGGGCACTTTGGAGACCACCTGACACCACCCGTCCCTGCCCTCCCTCTCAGAAGAGGGTGGAAGATGCCATGAAGGCTGTGGGACTCCTGGAGGATGCCAGTCTCTGTTCTGGGCCAGGGAAGCGCTTACAAATGGGGTTTTCTAATAAAAACAAATGCCACACCGACCTGTCTCAGCACCCGGATGTCGGAGCTTGGGCCCTGAGCACAGGCTCCCGGGCGAGCAGGCCGAGCGCTGGCCTCCTTGCTGAAGGGCTGTTCCGAGAGACGGCCGCCCCTGTCAGCCCTGGGTCTCTATCCTGTAGTCCCCTCTCTGGTTCTCAGTCACTATGTGTCCCCTGGCTTCTTGCCTATCACCTCGTCTCCATGACAGAGGGATGGGAAGATGGACAGCTGAGCCAGGGAGCAGCTGTCAGAGCCCAGGGAGGCCTCTGCTATGACCCACTTACTGACCTCTGGAAAAGCCACCTCGTGCCTGAGTCCAGCCCGTCCTCTGAGAATGAGCTTTTCGGGACCAGCAGATGAATAGTGTTTAAGGCATTAGACTGCTGCATGGCCAACTGTGGTTTGAGTCCCAGACCTGGTGGCTTGAAACTCACACCAGGCACATGCGCGTGTGTGCCCAAGATCCTGAGAGGAGAATGGAGGAGAAGGGTTTGCAGCATGGCCATCCCCCCTGGGGGGTGATTTCTCACTTTCTGTCTCTCTGTGTCTTTCTGGTGAGTACATGTGCCCTATAGCAAAAACCTCTCCATAAAAAAGAAAAAATTACGCCAAGTGGGACCAGCAGATGGTATAATGGTTATGTTGCTGGACTCCCACATAGTTGACCACAGTTTGAGTCTTGAACCCAGTAGCATAAACCTCGCGGCAGTCATGTGTGCATGCGTGCCCAAGATCCAGAGAGGAGAATGCAGGAGAGGGGATTACAGCATGGCCGTGCCCCCTGCGGGGTGATTTTTCACTTTCTCTCTCTGGTAAGCACACACACACCCTATAGTAAAAATCTCTCTCCAGGCCAGCAAGTGGTGTGTTGGTTAAGGGCATTGGACTCCCACATGGCCAACCACAGTTTGAGTCCTGGACCTGGTGGCTTGGTTTCTCACTCTCTCTCTGTCCTTCTCTGGTCAAATTTTAATTAATTAATTAATTAAAAAAAAAAACACTCAAGGGACCAGCAGTTGGCGTAATGGCTATGTTGCTGGACTCCCATGTAGGAAACTGCAGTTTGAGTCCCTGACTTGGTGCCTTAAACTTACACTGGGCCTGTGTGCATGTGTGCCCAAGATCCTGAGAGGAGAATGGAGGAGAAGGGATTGCGGCGTGGTCATCCCCCCTGGAGGGTGATTTCTCACTTTGTGTTTCTCTGTCTGTCTCTGTCTTTCTGGCAAGCACATGTGCCCTATAACAGAAACCTCAAAAATTTAAAAAAAAAAAACCAAAACCACACCAGGTGCATATGTGTGTATGCCCAAAATCCCAAGAGAAGAGAAGGAATTGTAGCCTGGCCATCCCTCCTGGCAGGGGAAGGGGCAATTTCTCTTTTGCCTCTGTCTCCAGTGATAATATATATCCTATAGCAAAAACTTTTTTAAAATGTCTTGAGTTTGATCTTTTTTTATTTATGTATTTCTTCTATGAGAAAAAAAGCACCCGTAATAGGGTCTTGATGCCACAGGCCACCCTAGCCCAGCCAGCCTGGGATGGTGGGCACACATGTGCCCAGAGTACTCGAGGTTTCTGGACACAAACCCGGAACTTGCTTTACGTGGATCGGCCTCAGGGCATCGTGCTGCACTGCCATGCCGGTTGTGAGCGCGTTTATTTTTAATGCCAGTGGGCTTCTAGCTCAGGCTCAGAGTGTCTGGGTGTCAGAGTGGGCCCCGTGTGGCCTCTGGCGAGGCAGTGGCTTCTGCTGTGGCAGCAGTGGGGAGCAGCGCGGGAGCTGACGCTGTCCAAC